AACCTGGATCATTACTCCTGGAGGCTGTTGGAGGGGAAAATCACATCATTCCGCTTTCACTGCTGTCAAGAAAAATTGACACGCTAAGAGTCACATATGCGCAAACAGATATGTAGCAACACACACACACACACACACTGCTGCTGGACTCGGAGGGGTTAATGAATTGTCCCAACAGCCAGGGTTGCCCAGAGCTGACAGCTCTTGCTGCGTCTGCCTCGCAGAAGCAAAGAAAGCATCATTATCACCTTCTCTTGCTGTACCTTTTTTCTGTTTTTAGTCTCCTTCAATGGCTTTCCTCTCTCCATTGTCCTGTTCCTGCACTTTCTGATCTGCCATTACCCTCTCCTCATTCAACAATCAATATTACCCCCTCCAAACACACAATCCCAACCAATTCTTCTTTCTCTCTCTTGCTTTCTCGCTCTTTTTTTGCTTTACTTTCTTAAAAGTCTCAAAAGTCAAGTCATAGAGTTGCATCCCCCACCCCCAACCACCTACCCACTCCATTTTACACATGCTCTTCTTCCATACTCTTATTAACTGGCTGTCATGTTCAGCAGCCTTCCCCCAGACAGTGTTTAGCGTTCTTCAGTCCACTTACTGCAGCCAGAGTTAAGCCTCTGGGCTTTGCTCAGACAGGAATCCAAGTAGAAGGAGGGGAAAGGCAGGACCCGCGGACATGATCTGTCTGCTGTACTCAGTCAAACTCTTCCTCCTGAACCAGCTACCTGAAGGCAGCAGTGCCCAAATCACACACATCATACAAGATATTACCTTCCAGAGGGATTTCCAGTTGAAGTAGTACGATCTGCAAAAGCTGAGCGACAAATTATTTAAAAAAAAAAGTGAGTTAATTCAACATTAAGGTGGAAAAATCTAGACAAAATGCTCAACTTTGGAACAACCAATAAATTATCAGAAAAGTATAAATAGTTTCAATTACATTCACCTGCTACGTAGATGCTATTTTGACAAAGAAAAAAAAGGACCAAGCTCTTCCATTTTTAACATACATTTTTACCTCAGGAAGAAGTTGTATTTTCACCTCTGTCACTTAATCTGTATGTCTGCATGGAGTCTGAGAAAGTCATGAACAAATTTCCGTGAAATTCAGCACCAAGCTCAGCCTCGAGCCAAGAACAGTTGATGAGATTTTGATAGTTATCTGTACCTGTGATTTCTACTATTAGATGATTATTGTTTCCACACCCCCACCTCCTCCCTTCGTCATATTGGATATAGAGATTTAATTCCAAATCCAATCCAGAGTCTTAACAGTGCCCTAACAGGGTCGAGAAATCGATTACGCCTCAACTTTAAGACACATGGGATGCTTCGTGTCCTTGGATGTAGAAGGGTTATTTATTTATTTATTTATTTTTTGTGACAACCAAGAAGTGAACTCACAGTTGTGCAG